ACACCACAGGATGTCCTCCTTGTTGTCCATGTAGACGGGGAAATGCTCGTCTTTCCCCTGCTTCACAGAGTTGGAGCGTGTCGTTATCGTACGCAACTTCTCAAACTGGGATTAGCATCCAGAACCAGAGACACACAGACACACAAACAGATGCAAACAAACACACACATCCTGTTTAATCCTGCAGCTAATCTCCTCACACACACACACACACACACACACACACACACACACCTTGGCTGTGCGGCCATGCTCCAGGCACTCCTGCAGGTCCAGCTTGTCGTTTGCCATCGGTGTTAAAGGTCTGCAGCACACAGAACGGCACAGATTGGGATTAAGTTACAGCTGGGGGGCGGGACTACAGAATGAGTATTTCCTGTGAAAATACCTTGTGAATACTTAATTTTTTTAACTTTACTGAAAACACTGTGAGTGTACAGCAAAGAAAAGAAAGAGGAACAACACAAACACAAACAGGAACAACCAGACGTTTTAATTCAACAAATAAACTAAAGTTCACTTTTATGAAGTGAAGCTTTGTTGTTGTTAGACTCTGATAATCTGCACATTTATTATAAAGACATGTAGCAGTGAGTGCTTATTGTTGAAAGATTTTAGCTGAAAGTTGCTAAAGTCAAGTAAAAGTAGRCAAAATTAGCAAAAAAAGAGGCTAAAAGTAGCAGAAACCAGTTGAAATTTGCAAATAGTGAAAGGAGAGAAAAATAATAATAATTAGCAGAAAAACAACAAAAGCAGTACAAATAAGTTGTAACTTGTAAAATAGCTAAAACAGCTTAAATTAACTGACAAACAGCTAAAAGGCAGAAACTAACATAAAAAGCAGAAAGAGCACAAAGATGAAATAAAGCTAAAATTAGCTGAAAATAGTTAATAAGAAGCTAAAACATCAGAAAACAGCTGAAATGAGCTGACAAATAACTGGAAGGAGCAGAATGATAGCTTTAAAAGCAGAAAAAAGCTAAAATTAGCTAAAGAAAATAAGCTGAAGGAAGCTGAAATTATCACAAAGAGGTTAAAAAGCAGAAGCAGAAGAAAGAGTGAAAAGTGCAACAAAAGATTTATAATCAGTTTGGAGACAGCTCCAATCATTTTAACAAGAAATAAAACTACAGAAAAACACAATTATTTCAAGGTATTAGCTATAAACTYCAGAAATGCCCTGAAGGAGTGCAACACTGATGAATTGTTGAAAAAACACAAAAATTACAGAACGAGTTACGTGTCAAAAAATGTGCCTCAACTGGTGAAACTGAGCTGAAAATATTTATTAAGTGTTAATAAAAGTGCAAATTTAAATAGCTGAAAGAAYCAAAAAAGCCTAATTCTTGCAGAAAAACAGTAAAAAGGAGCAAAAATGTAGTTGGTAAAGCAGAAAACAGCTAAAAGCTAAAATAACTGAACAGAGCAGAAAACATTTGTAAGAAGCATAAAAACTCCACAAAACTACAGAAACAAACACAAACAGCAGAAAACAGCAAAAGAAGCAGATCTATAGTTCAAACAATAAAAAGCTAAAATGAGCATAAAATAAGCTAAACCTAGCAGCCACAAGTTATGATTAACACGCAAATAGTGAAAGAAATTTAAAATTAGCAGAAAAAAATGCATAAAAGTACAAAAAAATGAAAATTTTGTAGTTAAATTCAATTAAATTCAAATTCAAAGATACTTGGTTGATCCCAGAGGGAAATTATTAAATGTTGTAACTGAGTTATTGTAGCTGCTGACGGCTGTGGACAGGAAACATCTTCTGCAGCATCTGTGTTACATCCAAACTGAAGACACGCTGTTAACACCTAAAACAACCAAAATGTTAAGTAAAACAGCTAAAAAAGTAGCTGCAAATTCTGAAAACTTAGCAGAAAAAAGTTATAATAAAAACTGTGTATTTAGCTTAAAAAAGCTAACTTTAGCTAATAACAGCTGAAAATTAGCTAAAGTTTCAGCAAATACATGAAAATAGCAGAAGGCACCTGTAAGGAGAAGAATCAGTACAAACTAGCAGAAAAAAGCACAAAAAGTAGAAAAAAAACATAAGAATAGCAGAAAGATGCTGAATTTTATCTGAAATTGCAGAAAAAAATCTAAAATGATCAAAAATGTAGCTAAAAAGAGCAGAAGGAGGTTAAAAAGAGCAGAACAAACCGTGTAAGGCTCTGTAAGATTCAGAAACATTTAAAGATGTTGAAAACAGCTCCATTCAGTTTCAATGGCTAAAAAAGTGATATTTTTGAAAAAGTAAAAATATCTGAAATASCAAAGGTCATAGAAGGATTGTCATAACAGAACGGAACATTTTGTTACATGAATTGTTGAAATAAAACAAAAACTGAGGAAGGAGTAAGATGCTGAAAAACGAACAGAAGAAAAAATGTGAATCATTAATACAATAATCTGTAAATGGTTAGGGATTAGGCTAACCTAATCCCTAACCATTTCTACAGTAATCTGTATTTGTACCTGCATGTGCTGTGCATCACCTGGACACACTCACCTGGACATGCCCGGCAGGTTTCCCCAGAAGTAGCGAGCGCGGTGGGCAGCAGACACTTCCTTAGCATCGATCATCACTGGGTTACACTGAGGACAAACAGCACGTCACCTTTGTGTCTGACTTCATGAGAAACTACTCTGTGTATAATGAGAAAGTACTTTTCCCTCCAGGTATTATCTGAAAAACACTTTTCTACAATCATGGGTTCATGTTTGTAAAACATTATCTTTGCTTTTATAGTTTTAAGAGTTTTGATCAATCTCTAAACAGGACCAACTGGTTGAGTGATCCTTTTTGTTTGTTCCTAGTTTGTCCACTCATTATTGTGCTGTAGATTGTGAAAATTAGATTTTGTTGGTAGATTTTAAAGCTTTTTTATTTGATACCAAAAGCTAAATCTAAATTGTGCCATTCCAAATTCCTGCCACACAATCCCACCTCCTTCTTAGAGAAATAAACTATAAAAAMCTACTGGGATTGTGGTTGAAAAAACAAGCTTTTACACATCTGGAAAAAGGCTTTTTCTCCAGTTATTCTCCCTAAGTTAGGCTCCACTATCTTCACTGTGAGCTTTGGGTTGTTCTACCTCTAAGAAACGAGAGATGTCCCGTTTGTCGCTGACCCCCATGGCCACCACGTTCTCAAAGAGCCAGAAGAACGGCCGCTCGTCGCCCAGCTTTGGTCGAGCCTCGTGCAGGAGACGGTAAAACTCAAAGAACAACCGCCCAGTACCCTCTGTGAGGGCAGACAGGACGAGAGGTGTTGATTAAAACTTTTTAAACAAACACATCAATGTTTTAAAATCTGAAGCAGAATAAATCTGACCATAGAGGCCTTTCCGTGCAGGATTAACGATGGAGAGGTCGTTACAGGGACTCCCTCCAATAACCAGGTCGAATGGTCCCCACTCCTCAATCTGAAAACAAAAAACATAAAACAACCAGACCATGGGTTTTTACGATGTAAAAACAAGTGTGCATTGTCTTGTAGCATGGCTTTGCCTGCAGCATGGACTGTGACCATTTTCAAATGTGTTTTCTCTACCAGGCTGTGCCTGTCAAGTCAGCAGGTGTTTGTAATGAGGGTAATTGTGTGACAATATAACAATCTGAAAATATGTAGTTTTAATGAAATTGTTATTTTATAGCTGGGATTGAACCCTAATCTCCCACATGAAAACCCATAGTGTTGACCATGAGCCATTGGAGCTGTGGCAGAGGGCACTGTCAGGGGTTGGTTTGTCTGTGTGCAGAAAGAGGCCACATTGCCAATGCAATCGTTGACACTAAACTGTAATATATCACAGTAACAGAGRTTTATTAGGACAAMATTAAAGTCAAACATCAAAARACAATTATATTAATATTGTAATCACTGAACTACTGAGTGTAAATATTATTAAACTATGGTGCAGTAKCATATTGAGTAGATACAGCAGGGGGCAGTATTGGACCAATACTCCATTGACTGCCATTARATGATTTTAAACATTAGTATTTCAAAAACTATAWGTTTTACAGGCACCAAAAGYCATAGCCATCATTTGGCACAGGAGRTTTACAGATATAAATTACAATGGCAGCTCTAGGACAAAGTATGCAGGAGGAGAAGRYTGSRAAAGTTGAGATGACTTGGATGTGAAACGAATCACAATGGTGTGCATTGCATTGATGATCAGCAGAGGAAATGAGACAATTGTGCTTGTAGACTGCTCTTCCTGCATCTAATGAATATTTCTGCCACTGCAGACAGGTAAGAACTGACTTACATGCTTGCGGGTGACGTTGCGAACGTCTCCCACATACATTATGCGTCCTTGGTGTCGAACGATGCCGACAGTGATGGAGTCCTCACACACTTCAGAGGCTATATACTTGTCCACCTGGATGCCTAGATCTTTCAGCACCAGCAGACCTGAACATAGAAAACAATCCACAACAAGATGAGGATGTTGGCCATGGCAAGACATTCCAACCTCCTAATAATTACACAGAAGTACCTGTGGCGATGCCGTCAAATAAGGAGAGCACTCTGATTGGTTGTCTCTTCTCTGCTGACACTGGAGGATACAGTTTGGCTGGCTCCTGAAACAAAACAGGAAGTGATTGAAGCAAAAGGAGGATATTTTCTTCACCTGCTAACAGAGACAAAGACTCACAAACTCCTGCTCGTGGTTGTTGGCAAAGAAGTGCTGTAATCTGATTGGCCAGTCGTCCCGTCGTCGCAGCAGCCCGTGGCCACTCCGGGGTCCACACATGTAGCAGTTCCAGGGGTCTTCTTTAATGGCTGCTGCTGCTGAGCCGGCTCCCACCAGGAGATCCACACACTCCACACAAAAACATCTGCACACACACACACACACACACACACACACACACACATTACAGAGAGAGATAAACACACACACACACACACACACACACACACACACACACACATTAGAGAATGTCATCCTCTAAGCCAGGATCTGGTTAAACCAGCTCCT